AGTTTTGTGCATTTCAAAGAGTGTGTGTTTGTTTTTTTTAATTTACAACTTATTTGCACACTTTGATTTTATTCAAGGAACACTGCCAAAATAGTTTCCACAAAGCCTTTGGTTAGTTTTTCTTTCTTTCTTTCCTTTTAAAAATATAACATTCTGTCCTGGAAATCGAAAATATTTATCTACCTGAAGGAAATTGTGCATACTGTGATTTTTGGGATTTTGTAAGCACACTTAATAATGATGAGAGAGATATGCTTGAACATTTGTTGTTGAATATTTACAGTTTTAGTCTAACATCTCTGTATTAACTTTCAGAGGTCAACTGCTGTCTATTTAAGCATCAGTTGATATTGGGTTGTCCCGCTCTGAGCTTATCATAATATTCTGATTATTAAAAAAAAGTATGCAATTACTAATGATGTTATTCAGGCAACAAAGCATACAGGTTTTTCAGAATTCATTAAGATTTTGTAACATTCCTGAAATGTATTGATTTACTACTTCATTACCTAAAGGCTATTGAATCTAATAAGTTGTGAAATTTGATCGGTGTGGAAATAATGGCTGTTAATGTATGATTTTATAAAAGATTGTTATTCACAATAAAACAGAATATTCCTATGGATTCAGTGTTGGTAAAACAGTTTTAATGCACTCTTGTGCTTAGTAAACCACTCTCCCATGATCCTCTGGGAGACAATGTCTTGTGTGTGACAAAGATCAAATGTGAGCATGAGCGCAGTCTTTGTCACCCTGTCCTGTGATCTCTGTGCACATTCGGTGCGTTTGGTGTATGATATACAAATGCACCAGTGTTGCTATTTATAAATCTGTTTGGTATTAACTCACAGCATCTGTGCATCCATTGTAAATCCCCCAAAAAATCACTTGGGGAAAAATAAAAAATATTTTTTTGGAAGAAAATCTTTATTATTCATGATCTCTCGTTGCATTATACATGTGCTCCTAATTTTCTTTCAGCCTCTCCAGGAGTTTCTTCTAATTAAGGTGTAAACCCTTAAATCATACGAGGTGTGAGAATACATATTTAGACAAACTAATCACGAAGCCTTGCATTTGTGACAGACTGGTTCTGAAAAAGCAGCATTGCTCATCACCAGTGCTTTTTTTCCAACCTTGAAATAGTTAGACATTCTAAAAATTCAAATGCACCTTATTCACACATCAACTGCGAATCCGAAAGAAGATTGCAAGTAAGTCTTATAAAATGACCACAGTGTACTTTATTAAATGAATTTGGTACTTTGTGTTGCATTAGAATCAAATAAAAATTTACAAAAATCCAATATGTACAAAAATTTAACTTTCTTTTTGTTTTTACTCTTCAATTTACAATGAAATCAGATAACAGATTTGATGCATTTTACGCACTTCAGACTTTCATCACATGATACAACTGACTTAAGAGACCAATAATAACGTTTTTTTAGTTTTTTTATGTCATTTAATACATCACATACACCACACTAGTTTTTGTCTGTATTATGTCATATGTAACTGCTGATCTCTAGTCAATAGACACCCTTCACGACCAGGACTCAGAAAGGAATGTTCTTTTACACATGTACATTTGCATACATTTATTTACAGTTAAATAGCCTTTTGCAAGTCACTATGGAACTCCCGTTTGAACTGAAATACCAGTAAAGTCTGTACATCATTTCTGAACGCTGAACTGAACACCACCGAGTTCATTCAATTACTGTGCTTGTACTAATATCGTGCTTTATAAATAACCACCGATTATCTTTTATCTAAATGTAAATTTCTTTTCCCCCATCTATAGCATTCTAGTTTATCTAAGTATCTATGTCTATGTGTGAGGGAGTATCGTCAATTTGTTTATTCAACAACAAAAGAAAGCTTCTCCGATGAATAATAATAATAAAAAAAATTGCCACTGTTCATTTCAGCTCTCAGAGTCAATCGTGTTTGCTAACTGATTCAAAATGCTCATAATCTTGTAACAGCACGGCCCGTGACCCCTGACTGTCTGGGTCATCATTTTGATTGTTTGTCTGCATATTTCATTTCAGTCTGCTTTCTTTGTGTCCGCTTGCAGTATAAGCACAGTAAGTACGCTAATCAATAATGCAACGTCGTCATACTAGCATGAAAGCAACCGGAGCATCATGTGCATGACTAAAACTAAACCAAAAGAAACTAACAGAAAATGCCACTTACGAATAATGAAGCCGCAAAAAAGGCGAGTGTCATTTAAGGCAAATAAAACAGAATCAGCTTGCATTAATTGAATGTTCTCCTGCTGTGAATTGTTGTAAAATAAGTCCTGCTTTTGAACTCCGGTTGTAAACAGAGCAGCCTCCAACTCCTCCGCTCATCCACGGGGATGCCATCTCAATAAATTCCTTCATATCAGCCACACCAACGACTAGAGCTGGAGAGTGGTCTGTTTAAAATACCGCTTTGAGGTAGGTTACAGGTATGAATTAAGTTTTTCCAGAGCGAAGAAATGGTTGACTATATCTCTAGGTTTATTGATAAAACCCAGATAGAAAAATAGAACTAGAAGTGCAAAACAAAGTGACATAGTTTAGCTGTAATGTTATGATTAGCTTAAATGTTTTCACTGTTGGTCTTCCGTCACCACCATGTTAAGACGTAGGACTACGTACGCAATTCTGTCCTCGTAATTTTTAATCAAAATGTCATACTTGAACTGATCTAACTGATCAGACTTCTTTCTTGTGACCTATGCAGGACCCCTCCAATCATTTTGACTTTATTACATTAATAATCTGGCATGTGTGGGGAATATGCCATCAAAACAGGCTATTCAGCATCTCCAAACATCAGCACAGCCTTTTGTGTAAAGACCTTGATTCGTTCTGCATGTGCTGAACGCATCGTATTGCATTGAGTGTTTTAAATTCATGTCATATTTCAACATTGAAAAATTGAGGCCTCGCAATAGATAAATGGCTGAATAAAGAATGTCATCAAAACTCACTGACAGCCAGTGTTGTAGGATGTTCCTCTTAATCAAATGAACCAAATCGCAGTGTGCTTGGGGTATCACTGAAACAAAAATACCATGGTATTTATGGGAAAGCTAAAAAAAAATGTAGGATGCTTTTGAAAATGATGGATATGTAATATCGCAGAGGTGTGCGATACATCACTCGTCTTCCTTCAAAAATGGTCTTGTGTAGGTGGTGCAACAATTTAAATCTGAAAATTGCCTAATTAGTGTGCTAACACTAGTTTGTTGTGCTCTGACTACAGGGGACTCTTTTAGAGGGCTGTTTGGAAAATTTTGCCAAGAGACAAAGTATCATCATCATCCATCACACAGAGAAATGAAAGTATAAGACACGCTGGGGAAAAAATGCTGACGAGATAGGAAAGTAGCAAAATAGCTAAACTATACAGGTTTACGTTTCACTGTGGTACTGGTTATAGATTCATATGATCTCATCTAAATCTTTTTTTTTGTGTGTTCTATTTTCTTTTTTCTTTTTCTTTTTTTTATTTGCAACACAGTAAAGATCTTCATCTGCAAGTGTGCAGATCGCTGCAGGCTAAAACAACTATGTTTTCAGTTAATTTGCCACCGATTGTAGGACGTTACAACACCTCAGGAGTGTTTCAAAACTACAATAAAACCCAAATTACAGTTCAGATATGACCAACTGAAGCTAAACGAATCTAACTGTCCTATATCAGTCATCTCCACACAATTAAATGGCATTAAGCAAAATAATGTGCACCTTAAGATCAACCATTTTGTAAGACACATGTTTAAAATGCCATCAATAACCAAAAAAGAAAAAGAAAAGCAAAGAAAATGGATCATAAAAAAATGTTACACGTAAAACATTTTCCCCACACTTTCAAATTCGCAAACTATCCATAACAGGCACATCTAGCTTCTGTCGCAGTAAAATTTCACCTTGTCTCTCGACACAAGTGTAACAGCAACCGAAGAAATCCTTCATTGTGCTGAGACTCCTTCCTGTGACAAGTTTTGTGCTTGTTTTCTATTTATTTTTTATTTTTCTGCCCTCACTTCCATGTCTCCATAAATGCCTTAGAATATTCGAACATAAAGACACAAAGAAGCACTTGTAACTGAACGGAAAATTTAAATCTCCAACACTTTCATATATAAAGGATGCTCTAGGCTGATTTAAAGATACAGTGCTCTTTTAGGCCGATGTGATTTGTTGAACCATAGGGCCCATCATTCATCATTCAGAGCACATTAGCAAGTCTGCACACTGTCGCAGACTACTTATCCCTGACACTGATTTGTAGACTGTGAGTTGGCAATTGAAGTGTCTCATGGAAAGAGTCTTGACTGCACTGCAGAGTTTGGAATAGTACACTTCGCCGGCTTTCCAGATGTGTTAAGATGCTGAAAAGTGACCCTGTTTATTGTCTATACGTGGCCTTTAACTCATTTTACTGTACCAATACAGCACACAAAACACAAGACACACCAAATCCTGACCCAGCCCAGAAGAACACTGTATCTTTAACCTAGAAGATGAAGCGCATCCAGGTTTTGTCGGGTACAGTTTGGCGGACATTGTGTGAACTGTGATGGTCTTTGCCCCCCACTCTGCTGTGAACCAAACGGATCCTTGTCAGCCCACAGGAGTGAGGTGAATGAGGCCGGATCGTCAAAGGGCCTACTGTCTTCTCCTGAAGAAGAAAACGAGTGTGTGTTCTCCCTGTTTTGTCATCCCAAGTGTCTTGGACTCCTGTGATGATCGCATACTTCTTTTCTCATCTTTTTTCTTTGTACAGGATTCAAGTAGATGGTTGAAATGCTGCCCTGTTTATATATACAGTTTGTGGTCGAGCCACAGTTCAGCGTGGAGTCATTGTGAGCGGAGCATTTGGCACTCGTACAGAACTGCTGATGAAACACTACTAATAGGTTACAGTATCCTAAACAAGGACATCTCGAGACTAATCAGCCATTTTTTTTATTTGTGTACCATCATCTTTGTACAGGATTCAAGTAGATGGTTGAAATGCTGCCCTGTTTATATATACAGTTTGTGGTCGAGCCACAGTTCAGCGTGGAGTCATTGTGAGCGGAGCATTTGGCACTGGTACAGAACTGCTGATGAAACACTACTAATAGGTTACAGTACCCTAAACAAGGACGTCTCGAGACTAATCAGCCATTTTTTTTATTTGTGTACCATCGATGTGATATTTGGACCACTGTTTCTCCAGTGCGGTGGGTAGTCTGTTTGTTAAAATGCCGTTTGTGTGCACTGGATGCTTGGTTTCAAAGGGAAAGGCCTTTGTTTTGCATTTGCTGCAAGAGACGAGCTATAAAGTGTTCTGGATGTCCTCTTGCAGTTTGGAGACGTTGGCTCGAGGACAATCAGCTCTGGGAATGAAGGTCTGTACAACACTCAGGAGGGCCGAGGGGTTTGTGGTCTATATCAGCCAGTGCAATGACTTTTAGAATCCCAGATATTCCCTGACAAGACAGAAGTAATAAAAAGCAATGAGAGAACGGTTTAAAAAAAAGTTTATTTCATTCCTCCACAAATATGTTGTGCCTATGTTTGTCCATGACAATCAACATCATGGCTAGATGCTATGTATGCAAGGAACGTTATTGCCACAGTCCTGCTGTTTATTTAAGAGGACAGTAATGTGTTCATGTTTGTGAGTTTCCACAGCGCAGGCTACAAGGTGGTCTCGTACTCCAGACGCTCTTGAATCAATGTGTCGTCTTTATATTGGAGGCGTGGCGGGTTCGGAGACGAGTCGATGGCCAGGATGGCTTTACGTATACTCCTGTCCAGTACGTGCCTCTCCCAGGCAGGGTAGCGGTTCCTGCACAAGTCTATTTTGATAACTGTCTCCTCCAGGCGCGGGGCACGGGAGGAAGGAGTAGAGGGTGCGGTGGGCCGCACCTGAAAGACGGGCACACAACCGTCCCGCTCGCTGTACTTGGCCTCGCGGTCAGCGTCCCTGGCTAGCGTGCCTCCGCGGTTGGAGCGCAGTGAGTTGGTGGCGCCCTCAGGGGGCAGCGTGAAGGTAGCGGTAGGGTCCTCGAGCTGGACCAGGCTGGCCGAGCGGCCAAAGTGTGGCCCGTTGGGATGGAAGAAAGCATAGTACATGAGCATGAAAACAATGCCAGTGAAGAAGCTAGAGAAGATGACGCACAGGGCGGGCACAGCAAAGGCGTCTGTGCTGGGGGGTGAGCGGTAAAGGTACCACAACGCGCTCAGGGCCGTGTTCTCCAACAGGATCATGAAGTAATAGATGAAGAGACGGCAGCGGGTGCGTCCCTCCTTCACGTTGAACCAACTGAAGATGTAGATGATTCCCACCACCATGTCAAAGACGATCTCCTCCCACTTGGTGATGCAGAATTCGGTCTCGCAGTGTACGATCCAGAAGGTCATGATGCACCAGTGCAGCACGATGAAGATGCCGAAGTAGAGCTGAAACACGGAGGCGAAGAGAGCGAATGTCACTACGCGAGCAGCGATGGTGAAGAAGTGCCAACAGAACTGGATGATGACGGCAAGGTAGCTGATGGGCTTCTTGTCATCGCGGGAATCACGCAAGGCTTTCTGATAGGAGGCCAGAGCCCAGGCTAGTGACACCAGAGAAGCAGCCGCTGTTATCCCTGAAATAAAAGGAGAGAAGTGTCAATTATGGCTGAACATCACAATACTGTGCCCCTGTCAATGAACCAAAGAAATATAAGCACATAGAAAACTACACACAGTATTTATGCGCAGTATGTTAAGAAAATGTGAAATTATTTAGTGTTTTCTTTAACTGAAACGTGTCAGCTCCTATAATCCAAGTTATGAAACTTATACAATTATATGAAATTAAATTAAAATGATAAAAAATCCCCTGTATGGGTTTTTGATTTTTATATTTAAAAGATATGACATAGTTAAGTAATATCACACAAGCAAGAGTGGCGTTTTCCTGAATATTAGCTTATAGTGTGATCACGAATGTGATATTAACTTTATCCAACAGTTAAAAAAAACATGAAGTTATTATTGAGTGAGTTACATTTTAGATACAATATTATATATAATAGTTCCAAACAACGCCAGAGTAGAACATTTGTGCTTCTCAGAGCAACACTGCAGCGCTTTGTTCCTGAATGAATGTTTTTGAACAAATAATTTCAGCCAATGACTCAATAATCCATTCATAAACACATCACTTGCTTCCTTTCTAAATGAATCAGCAATTTTGAACAAATCGTTTGAATTCATTATTTAATTAATCACCCATTAATCACTCATTAAGACAGGGACTTGCCACCTCCTATTGGTGATTTTTGTGTGATATTTCTTTATCCATAACAGGCCTAAATCAGCCAAGGTACCAGCATAAAAACACTAAGCAAAATATCGTTTAATTATCACAATCGAAAAAAATATATATTGAGACATCATTTTTTTGTCAGTATCGCACACCTCTTTCTTACCATGTCTTTTTTCAATTGTCATTTTTGAAATGTATTTGTTATTATTTATTTTTGTATATATTTGTACTCTTACCCAGGCCCAGATTTTTTTAGGTTCCCAAACTATGAAAATCCATTATAAAAATGTATATGCTGTATATATAATGTCCTTTCCATCACAACCAGCAAAAATGTTAGTGTACTTGTTTACCAAGGAGAAAGAAGCCAAGTCATTGAACAGCTTGAGATGAAACATGAAATGTGTTGTGTAAAACACAGAAAAATATAAATGTAAATATCACTCGAAAGCATATTTTTGCATTTCCATTATGTAAATAGAAAAAAAGCCAGTGCATTTCATGTTAACCAGCTATAAATGTAGCTTGACATGTGAAGCACTTCTTGGGCAGATACAATAGGATACTGGTTTCAGACGCAGAATAGGAAGTGCTCACCAAGGCATGCAAATGCATTTATCTCGTTACTACATCTTTATGTATTCCTGACTCTGGAGAATACAGTCGGAAGTGGGTTAATGGAGTAGCTTGACCGAGGAAGTGTCCATCAATGGCTCGCGCTCTGGTGTGTGTCACGTGCAACCCTCCTATAATGAATTTGTTTGCGATTTCATATCTAGACCCTCTGGTGAGTCACACCACACCAAGGTATACAAGCTCTGGCCATAATCAAAGCTGATAAACGGTGACTCGAGAGATGTGGTTTATTTTGATGAGTTTTATTTTCTCTTCAGGGAAAACAGCCTCTGTGGAATTCTGCTTAACGGCACCTTTCCTACATTTATGACTCACTGGCCCATGAGTGAGATGTTATCCGCCCTTCTGTATAATGATGTGTAGTGCAAGCAGAAGAGAAGTTGAGATAACAGGAAGCTTTAGTGCCAATCAGTTCCTTTCAAACGGCATCAGTAAAAATGCAAATTCTCACGTTCCGAAGATAACACCATCGCGGTCCACGGCCATGAGTAATTGAATGAGTCCTCAATGTGAAATGATGAATGTGCAAAGATGTGTTAATTTGTGTCCAAATAAAGGTGAGTATTATTTTCATTTTGCAGAGGCTGCAGGCTCACTGTTTGTCAAAGGCTGTGACAGACAGATTTGCTATTTCTCTGCCATCTGTATTCAGATGAGCAGTGCATTATGGACACTCTACAGCTAAACAAGCAGATGATCAATGATAAAGATATTCATTGATAGCATAAGATAGCACATTCATAACAGAGAATGTGCACCCTGGGCATCTATTTTATTAGTCTGAAGAGCGATTAAATGCACAGAATCTTATCTGTGGAAATGACTGTGTGATGTCGACATTCCCAGAGCGAGTGACGAGCAGTGGTCACATCCTCTGTGGAGCTCCTTACAACAGGAGGACTGCGAGTGTGGAAGGGTACTCAACAGTCTTTACAACAGGAACACAGTCACCAATTAGCAGACTGCAGTTCAGTTCTGGACCCGATATTTGGATCCATCCAGATTGTGAATAATTTCTCATAAATAAAGAGCATTATAAACATAACATTATTTCTCGTTTACACAGTTGAACCTGAAGCAACATGACAATACAAACTATTCAGCTACCATTTCATTTACAGTGAATCATATTAAAATATTCTCTTCAAATTTGTGGTTTACAGAATCTATACGGGACAATGCAGTAGAATTTTCCGGTTCCTATTGTACTATTTACTTTTACAAGGTACTGTGGTTCTCAACCTAAAAATTTGAATCAGGTGATTCTAGATGCCCTAAAAAATTGTGATTAACTCCACTGTCAACATCCAGATTGGTTTATCACTTATCTATGGACTACTCTCCATTCCAGCAAAATCCTAAAATAAAATGCCCCCTTCCTGACATACATTCACTGACATACAGTGCCGTTCAAAGTTTTGAAGTTGGTAAGATTGTTTTTAAGAAATCAATACTTTCATTAAGCAAGGATACATTAAATTGATCAATAGTGACAGTAAATACATTTACTGTATAATGTTACAAAAGATTTTAATTAAATGCTGTTCTTTGAACTTTCTATTTATAAAAGATCCTGAAAAAAAAAAAGATTAATCAGCACAAATGTTTTCAACACTGATAATAAGAAATGTGTCTTGAGCACCAAATCAGATATTAGGATGATTTCTGTAGGGTCATGTGACACTGAAGACTGGAGTAATAATAGCTGACAAAGTAGCTTTGCATCACAGGAATAAATTGCATTTTAATATATATTCAAATACCAAAGAGTTATTTTAAACTGTTATAATAATTCACAATATTACTAGGAGCCCAGGACCCCTCTATCTGTCTGTCTGTCTGTCTATATCTATCTATCTATCTAGTGTTTGTTTATACTGTGAGTTTTTTTTCAATAGCTTATTTACGTGTTTAACCCACTTAGATTAAATCTGGCCCATTAGTAGCTGGAGAGAGCTGAGGGGGTGTAATGACTACTTTGCAAAGTGGGGTAATTAACTGTCAGAGGCCAGGCTATAATTCTTATTCTGTGGGCTATCTGGCCTGTGGCTTGGCTCCGGTGCTGTCTATGACAGTGAGGGTGCATGTATTCCTCCCTCCCTCCCTCCCTTGTATCCTGCGCACGTGCAGCGCATCCTGAGGAAGACGGTCACCACGGGAACCTGCCACGGTCCAGCGTGTGAAGCTGCGAGAGCGGCAGCAGTGACGTAATGCTCCTTGCTGCTCATGAGGGCTGCAGTAATTTGGAGAGGGGAGGAGGCCATTGACAGTGTGTGTGTGAGTGTTGTGTGTTTGTAGGGTGTGTAGTAGCAGCAGGGTTATGCAAACCACAGCATCACTGCAGTATCTTCTTCATCTACTTCTACAGGCCCTTCAAATCCGTTCACATTAAGGGAATAGTTTACCAAAAAAAGAAAATTCTGTCATCATTTTTCAACATTTGCTCACCCTCATGTCGTTCCAAACATTCCATGTTGTTATTTTATCTGTGTACACAAGAAAAGAAGAATTTTTTAAGGAATCTTCCTCACACCAATCTATTGTATGGCTTTAAAAACAAAATCTCAAATATGGTGCATGTCTTATGGACTACTTGCTTTTATGGTGTTTTTTTTGTCCTTTTTTGTGGCATGTGTCTGTGTAGAAAAGAGCTGCATGAAGATTCTTCAAAAATTCTGCAAAACAAACAATTTATTTTTCACTCTAACTTTATTTTATTAAATTCAATATTTTTATTTAATCTTTAAATATCTAGCCTATGGCGACGAAGCCCGCCAAAGCCTGCCAAAGTCCGCCAGAATGGGCGGGGCATCTGGCTATATAAGTAGGCATTCGCCACAGGATTCTCAGGTTACTTCGACTAAAGCGACGGTGCCAATCAGTTCCTTTCAAAGGCATCAGTAAAAATGCAAATTCTCACGTTCCGAAGATAACACCATCGCGGTCCACGGCCATGAGTAATTGAATGAGTCCTCAATGTGAAATGATGAATGTGCAAAGATGTGTTAATTTGTGTCCAAATAAAGGTGAGTATTATTTTCATTTTGCAGAGGCTGCAGGCTCACTGTTTGTCAAAGGCTGTGACAGACAGATTTGCTATTTCTCTGCCATCTGTATTCAGATGAGCAGTGCATTATGGACACTCTACAGCTAAACAAGCAGATGATCAATGATAAAGATATTCATTGATAGCATAAGATAGCACATTCATAACAGAGAATGTGCACACTGGGCATCTATTTTATTAGTCTGAAGAGCGATTAAATGCACAGAATCTTATCTGTGGAAATGACTGTGATGTCGACATTCCCAGAGCGAGTGACGATCAGAGGTCACATCCTCTGTGGAGCTCCTTACAACAGGAGGACTGCGAGTGTGGAGGGGTACTCAACAGTCTTTACAACAGGAACACAGTCACCAATTAGCAGACTGCAGTTCAGTTCTGGACCCGATATTTGGATCCATCCAGATTGTGAATAATTTCTCATAAATAAAGAGCATTATAAACATAACATTATTTCTCGTTTACACAGTTGAACCTGAAGCAACATGACAATACAAACTATTCAGCTACCATTTCATTTACAGTGAATCATATTAAAATATTCTCTTCAAATTTGTGGTTTACAGAATCTATACGGGACAATGCAGTAGAATTTTCCGGTTCCTATTGTACTATTTACTTTTACAAGGTACTGT